ATTTATATGTTAATACCAAAGGAAAGTTTTTAGCTCAACTAATTACAGTCACGTGTGACTATTTATAGGAAGCAAGCTTAACGTTCACAAACTTAAAATGTATAATATAAAGAGTCTCATTTTGTTTACAGATCACATTTTACAGAATCAGAAGAAAGTTTTTGAAGATGTGCATGATGATTTTTGTAACATCCAGAATATTTTGTTGAAATTTCAGCAATGGCGAGAAAAGTTTCCTGATTCCTATTATGAAGCTTTCATTAGTTTATGCATACCAAAGATTTTAAATCCCCTAATACGAGTTCAGTTGATTCCTTGGAATCCTCTTAAGGTATTTATGGTTATTATGCAAGAAATTATCCTGATCACATTAGTTACTTCAATTTCCTCGCTATCAGGTTAGCTATTAAATACCTAGAGTTGGAGCTGAAGTTTAGAGCTTTGGAACAATAGTCTGGAAATGTGTACTTTAAGCTACCTTCTTCTTTTCTTGGCTCTCAGTTGATTTTTAAGGCTGAGTAGCACTAAACATCAGTAAAGCAAACACATTTTTAAAGCTGCTTCTATATATAAGTTTGAAATACAGCCCCCCCCGCCTGCCCAAAAGAACAAGGTAATACTGGGTTTGAGGAAATTAGACATGCAAGCCTTGTTCCAAGAGTTCTAAAGTTGGAGAGGACATATTGGGAAGAGTTAGTCATTGTTGCATTGAGGAGGGGGAATTTAAGTGAGGCTTTGAAGGATTAACAGGAGGAGACAGAAAGGGAAAGATATTTGGTAAGGTATAAAAGAAGAAATATTAGTTGAGCTAGAGATTACACTGATGTTCAGATCCAAAATTTAAAGATATGAACTCAACAACCGCCTACTGTGTGCCAGGACCTTTAGCTAAACTACATACAAATTACACATTTATATTTATGAGAATTAAAAGGGCCAGAAGTAAACTTTGCTTGAGGTGAATAAATTTTTATAAACAAATTCCATGGCCATTTCAAGTGCCTAACAAGTGTTCGTTTCGCTCCTAGCAGAGTACTTGCCATGTGGTAGACTCTAAAAGTTCTGGCACACGGTAGGCAGTTGGTGAGTGTTGCACGAATGAATGCATGAAATGCAGCTTCTTGGTATTATATATCGCTTAGACATGTCATAGTCTTGTCACCTTGCGTAGCCTTAGTGGTCTAGTGCTATATACAGTGTTAAAATATGGAATTGTTCTCTTTTGATCCTTGGAAAAGGTCTGGTGATTATTGAAAAAGTTAACAACTATTTTAAAATATGCTTAAGAATTTATTTATAACTTTTATAATTTCATTTGTAAGTTGGATTCTATAGATTTAAAACAGATGCCATGGTTCACATCTGTAGAAGAATTTATGGATAGCAGTATGGAAGATTCAAAGAAGGAAGATAGTTCAGATAAAAAAATCTTGTCTGCTGTTATCAACAAAACAGTTATCCCCCGACTTACAGGTACTGCTTCATAATCTTGATTAAATTATTTTTTGACAGAGTATGAGGTCATTAATTTCTGTTCCATTCACATGTATTTTTTTCAGAAGTTTTTGAAACAGGGACTGTCGTATGCAGTAAAAATCAATAAATGCCAAATTTAAGCTGGTTAAAAAATGCTTATTTTCCATGGGGAGTATGGGGGCCAAGCAAATACACACCTAACAGGTACAGTGCATGCTATCTTGATGATGGGCACACTTAGAACTTTGTCTCAAACTGCACAAAAGCAAATCATGTAACCAAAATGTATACACCCTCCTAATATTCTGAAATTTAAAAACAAATGGAATTTTTAAAAAATGCTTGTTTGTGCAAGTGCTACCAAACTGCTCATATTCTGAGCCTTTGGTATTTGTGACATAATTGCTACATCTGTGACACTTCAGTTGTTTGCTAGCAGCACAGTTCCATCCATACTACACATATCTTTCTTTTCTTGAACATCTCTCATTGTTTCTTCTCTTCATTTCTTCTCCTTTTCTTTGAAAAACACTATTGTGTTTCCCTCGTATCTGCCACTAGCAACTATAAGTACTTAACATTAATGCTCGCGCTTCATACTTAATCCGTTCTCTCTGAAATTGTACTTAATAAGGATCTATTTCACAATGTTGCTGAGAAAGAATTTTGACAGCAAAGACTACAGAACTCTATTTTAAATGACAAAGCAACCAGCTTTATATTGCTTCTCAACCAACTCGATTAAACTTTAAAGATTTTTTTCAGTGAAACATACAGTGCATTTGTGGGGTATATTAGAAAGTTACTACTTTTAACTAGCTCTACATTTAGAATACATGTGCCTTATTTAAGTACTCTTCAGAAAATTTCCAATACTGGCTGGGTGCAGTGGCTCACGCCTATAATTCCAGCACTTTGGGAGGCGAAGGAAGGAGGATTACTTGAAGCTAGGAGTTCAACACCAGCCTGGGCAAGACTCCATGTCTACAAAAATTTTTTTAAAAAATTAGCCAAGCATGGTGGCACGTGCCCATAGTCTCAGCTACTCAGGAGATTAAGGTGGGAAGATCACTTGAGCCAAAGAGTTTGAGGCTGCAGTGAGCTATGATCCTGCCATGCCACTGCTCTCCAGCCTGGGTGACAAAGCAAGACCCTGTTTCTCAAAAAAAAAAAAAAATCCAAATACATATGATTAAACAGTTCCACAAATAAGTTGCTTTATGAGAAATTAATACTGACTGGGTTCCTGTAGTGGTTGGATTCTGCAACTATTTCAAAGGTATCATCAACACCTTTACTAATGGATTGGTTGTGGGGCAAAAGAGAAAGAGAAGGATCAAGAATGATTCTATGGTTTTTGGTCTGAACAACTATAAGGACAGAGTTGCCATTTCCTGAAAGGGAAATGACTAAGGAATAAGCTTAGAGTGGGGAGGAATATCAGGAGCTCAGTCTGGGACATGTTGAGTTTGAGATGCCTGTAATTAAGTCAAAATGTCAAGTAGATTATTGGATAAATGAGTCTTAAAGGCAGAGGTCTAGTTAGGGATATAAATTTGGAATTTATCAGCATATTGATGGCACTTAAAGCCATAAAACTGACTTTAAATACTAAGTGAGTGAATATGAATAGGAAAGAGAAGGTAAGTGACCTGAATCCTATGGTAATGCAGCAAAGAGGTAACACACAGCCAGCAAAGAAGACCAGAGAGCTAGGCAGGAAACCAGGAGTATGTTATCCTGTAAGCCAAGTAAAGAAGTTCTAGAAAGAAAGAATGATCAACTGTTGGTGGGATTAGAATCAACCATTGGAGTTTGCTATGCGAATACCATCTGTTTAGGAAGAATGGTGAGAGACAAGGCCTAATTGAAGGGAATTTAAGAACAAATGGGAGGAGAGAAATTGGAGATAGAAGGTTAGACATTATTTTGAGGAATTTAGTTGTAAAAGGTAGGAGAGAAATGGGGTAGCACTGGAGGGAGAAGTAGGGTTAAGAGGGGGATTATTTTTAACACAAGAGAAGTAATCATAGGCTGATAGGAAAGACCCAGGAGAAGTAATGACAGTACCAAAGTGCAAGGACAAAACTCCATGAACAGGATCTTTGAGTAAGCCAGAGGTGGTGAGATCTCATGCACAAATAAAGGGTTGGCCTTAACAGGGAGCACAGGTGTTCATCCATAGGAATAGGGCACAGAGGCAGGTGGATGTGCAGGTGCTGTGGTAGGATCTTGTAGAGCTTCTCTTCTGAATGCTTCTATTTTCTTATCAAGTTAGGAAGTAAAGTAATCAACTGAAAGAGACAGCAAGCAAGGGAGGAGAAAAAAGAAAGTAAGAAGTAGTCTAGCCAGGTATGGCGGCTCAGGCCTGTAATCCTAGCACTCTGGGAGGCCAAGGCAGGAGGATCGCTTGAGGTCAGGAGTTTGAGATCAGCCTAAGCAAGAGCAAGACCCCATCTCTACCAAAAATAGAAAAATTAGCAGCGTATGGTGGTATGCACCTGTAGTCTCAGCTACTCGGGAGGCTGAGGCAGGAGGATCACTTGAGCCCACAAGTTTCAGGTTGCAGTGAGCTGTGGTGACGCCACTGCACTCTACCTGGGGCGACAGAAGTGAAACTCTGTCTCAAAAAGAAAAGAAAGGAAAAATCATCTAGAAGAGTAAAATCCATCAACTGAGAGTGAGAGCAAGGAGGAGAGAGAAGGTACAAAATACTCATCTAGGCAAAAGAGAAAGTGAAAGGACCAGGGAGAGAGAATATGATTGCTGGGCAGCATTAAGGGCTTGCCCTGAGTTTTATGGTAATCAGTGTAATTTTTTTTCTAGCCACATTTTAGCTGCATGGTTGTAGGCGCAGACTTGGTGACAAAGTGAATTTAGCCAGGGTTGTGGTTTAGCCAGATGAGTTCAGCAAAGCCCAAGAAGGACAAGGAAATTGAAAATGTGTGCAAATAATTAATGATTGGTCATGGATTTTAAACCGAATGAGGAGGGAAGTAGTCTTTGCTAAAGGCCTCAGTTATTTGTGTGTGAGAAGCAAAACAATCTAGTAAATAAATTGTGTACCACTGAAATATTTGTTTCAGACTTTGTAGAATTCATCTGGGATCCCTTGTCAACCTCACAGACAACAAGTTTAATAACACACTGCAGAGTGATTCTTGAAGAACATTCCACTTGTGAAAATGAAATTAGTAAAAGCAAACAGGTAATGATTTCTAGAATTACGAATTTCTTGATTTATTTGAAAATCAATATAATTTTGTTACAAACCTTTGTTTATAGAAGATGCAGAAATAATTGTCAAGAAACTATTTAGGGAAATATATATTTACTTCTGATTTATAGAAGCCAAGATTGGCCATTTTTCCTCTTTATAATAATAAGATGAAAGAATATACCTTGATACTTTGAAATGCTGTAACAGGAATGGTAATCATTATTAATTAAAGTATACGCATACATGTAATAAGACCCAGATTATTACTCTCATTAGCTTATTTCTCTCTCTCCAGTGATCTGGTTTCTGTTCTCATGGCCTAGACAACCATCTTTCAGGATTGTGAATATATATTGGCCCTGCAGAGATGAACAGGCATAAATGCATTAGTATAAATTCATTTCTTCCCGAAGAAAACAAAACAAAATTCATTACCTTTGTTCTTTTGGCAAAAATCTAGTGACATTGTGGCCTTGTTACAATAATGGTTTCAAAATTAGGCTAACATTCTTTATATTAACTAGCTATTTGTAATCTCTTAAAAGTACTGATCTCTTTAAGGATTTAAAGTTTGGTGAGACAGATCTTCATTTTATAGTGATCGAGAATTGAGTTTATGAAACATGTGATATATGGAGATACTTTTTACAGAGGCCTTGCTGAGAGTCTGCTGAATCTCACTTTCATTGTGGTGTTCTGTTTTTATTGTTTTGTTGAAGAGATTGTTATATTCTCACGCAGTTATATGAGTAAACTAATTTTATGCTGAGCTTTAGGAAGTTAAAGGAGGGATTGACAGACTGAGGAGCACCCAGAGTAGAATGACTGCAGTGGTTGAAAAGCAGGGAGGCACGTCATATTCATACTGTGAATGCCACTGAATTTTAGCCCTTGGAATTGTGATCACAAAGGAGGAAATCTATAAGAAGTGAAAGGGAGAAGAGCAATACCAGCATGATTCTGCCTCAAGAAGTGTGTAATCTTAGAGGAAGTAAGATGTACATAAACTATAATTTAAAACAGGAAGTGAGAAGTGGAAGAAGGAGAAGTCGGGAAGACAGGAAACACCTAATTCCTGCTATGTACTCTGTTAGGTCTTGAACCTTTGTCATCTCACTTCATCCCAGCAGCCCTATAAAATATGGGTGATAGCCTCATTTTACAGATGAAGAAAATCAGTCTCGAAAACTTGTTCACAGTAAACCATGAATTAGAACTAGGTTTTGAACCTTGGTTAGTCTGCCTCTGAAGCCCAAGTTTGTCTTACTGACCACATTGCCTCCCCATGAGCTGCACAGATAAAGTGCTGTGAAACTTTGGGGGAGAGAGGTTGCTTTCAGCAGTGGAGATGAGGAAATAATTTATGTTAGAGGTGAAAATTGAGCTGGGACTTGAAGGAAAGGATAATATTTGAACATGTGGCAACTAATAGAGAAAAGATATTCCCTACTTAACCTACAAAGGATAAAAACACAAGAAAAATATATGAAAACCATTACAGGAATTAGATTTGACTTAAAAGATGTGCACAGAGATGATGTTTATATTCAAAGAAGGAGTAGATTTATTCTGTGTTATTACAGAGCATAGAACCAGGATTAGTAGGCAAAAGCTACAAGGAAGCAGATATATAATCCCGTATTTGTTCTCTATATAGGACCATGTAATTATAACCTAAATATAGGCCAGGCGCGGTGGCTCACGCCTGTAATCCTAGCTCTCTGGGAGGCCGAGGCGGGCGGATCGTTTGAGCTCAGGAGTTCAAGACCAACCTGAGCAAGAGCGAGACCCCGTCTCTACCAAAAATAGAAAGAAATTAATCGGACAGCTAAGAACATATAGAAAAAAATTAGCCGGGCACGGTGGAGTGTGCCTGTAGTCCCAGCCACTCGGGAGGCTGAGGCAGGAGGATCGCTTGAGCCCAGGAGTTTGAGGTTGCTGTGAGCTAGGATGACGCCACGGCACTCTAGCCCAGGCAACACAGTGAGACTCTGTCTCAAAAAAAAAAAAAAAAAAAAGAAACGCATGCCCATGCATACTAAAAGACATATACAAGAACTTCTATAGCAGCAGCATTTGTAATAGCCCCCAAACTGGAAACCATCTAAGTGTCCCATCAGTAGTATTTACGTAACAAAATACTATACAGCAATGAAAATGATCCAACTACAGCCATATAAAACATGGATGAATAAAGTGCAAGAAAATCCAATTGATAATTATTTTAACAGCTGATGCTATTTGTAAAAAGTTGTGAAAATTATGTTTTTGGTAAATATATTTCTACCTATGACTATAACTGATGCTTTGGAAATTTTTAAATAATAGGATTTACTTAAATCCATTGTTTCAAGAATGAAGAAGGCAATAGAAGATGATGTTTTTATTCCTCTTTATCCAAAGAGGTAAGACCTGTTAATTTCTAGATTGTTTGAAATAGCTAATCATAGAATACAGATTTAAGAATGTAATACAAAAGAAACTATAGTATTTTCAAAATATGCATACACATTCTGTGAATGCAAGATGCAAATTAAGATTCCAACAGAGAGCACAGGTGTTCATCCATAGGAATAGGGCACA